AACCCTTCGGGTGACTATACGCGCGAACCTATTCGCGTTGACTCGCTACTGCTGACGTCATCACGCGCGTTCTTCCATATGAGATATCGCGCTACTAGTATAGTCTAAGTATGATACTAGGAATGCATAAGTAAACTCTGTCAAGTATACTTCAACAAACCCTAGGTTATTATTTTCAACATTTCCCCCCCGAATGCCCGGGGGCAGCAGGTTTTTGTTGCGCAAATTTGAAAAATTCTCCACTCTCCTTTCGCTTGCGGATTCCGCAATTTGGTTGCGTGGCTTCCGAGCGAGGCTCGGAAAGTGCACCTGGTTTGGGTGGTAACCAGTGCTCGCAAAATCGCTTGAAGAGCTTCCTCAATGTTGACGTCGACGTCGACGTCAAGTGCTTGCAGAACCCAGCCTAGGTAGTAAGAGCGTTCCTAGTCTGTTGGGTGATTTGTAGAAAGAGATCGACAATTAAAGTATAGACACGTTAGCACACATACTAATGCGTTTTTATCGGGGCTGTCATTTGGGCTGACTCAGAGTGAGGGGACACTTGCGAGGAAATCTTGGGAAAGCAATCCGCGTAGACCCTAAGGGCGTGGATAAAGTGAATTACGAGAAGCCAGGTTTGGACGTCACTATGCGGTACAATTGGATTCCCTACTTTTGAGGCTAGCTTGTAACATACAAACATCGGTATACTGACGTCACAGCACGGGACGTCAGGTTATGCGTCACATTATTCATGCCCTAAGTGTAAATCGGACCTAAGTAACATTTTACCCAAATCCGGATGAAACAGAGTTTAATAACCCCTGAATCTAGACGAAACAGGCCGCGTAGGGGGGGGGGGGGGTCAACTTATACATACAGTACATTTGCATGTAGAAGTTATAGGCTAGAATAGGTGTACGTTCTTAGAGAGTACAACCCAACCCTATCTTGCTTGTTCTCTCTTGTTTCTATTTATTCTCGTATTCTAACATGGTATCAGAGTAGGTTAGGTCCCCCCCACCCGCTTCCGCCCTGCACCCTAGCCTACCGCGCCTCGCCAGCCCCTATCGCGCCCTAGCCGGCCCCACCTGACGCCTAGCCGGCCCTCCCTCAAGCCGTAGCCGGCTCCTCGCGCCGTCGCCAGCCCCTTGCGCTGTCGCTGGCCCCTCGCGCCCAGCCGTCCCCTAGCGCCGTAGCCGGCCCCTCGCGCCCTAGCCGGCCCTTCGTGCCCTAGCCGGCCCCTCGCGTCATCGCCGGCCCCTCACGCCTAGTCGGCCCCCACCCTTCACCCCTAGTCAGCCCCTTATCGCCTAGCCGCCCCCTCGCGTCCTAGCCGCCCCCCCCCCGCCCCCTCGCGCCTTGCTGGCCCTCCTTCGCGCCGTAGCCGGCTCCTCGCGCCATCGCCAGCACCTCGCGCCGTCGCTGGCCCCTCACGCCTAGTCGGCCCCTCGCGCCCTGGCCGGCCCCTCGCGCCCTAGCCGGCCCCTCGCACCATCGCCGGCTCCTCACGCCTAGTCGTCCCCCCCCCCCCCCCCCCTCCCCCCCTCGCGCCTAGCCGGCCCTCCCTCGCGCTGTAGTCGGCTCCTCGCGCCGTCGCCAGCCCTTCGCATCGTCGCTGCCCCCTCGCGCCTAGTCGGCCCCTCGCGCCCTAGCCGGCCCTTCGCGCCCTAGCCGGTCCCTCGCGCTGTCGCCGGCCCCTCGCGCCGTCGCCGGCCCCTCGCGCCGTCGCCGGCCCCTCGCGCCCAGCCGGCCCCTCGCGCCCAGCCGGCCCCTTGGGCCCTAGCCGGCCCCTCGCGCTTAGCCGGCCCCTCGTGCCTAGACGGCCCCTCGAGCTTAGCCGGCCCCTTCTCGCGCCGCCAGCCCCACGGGCCTTGCCGGCTCCTCTCTACGCGCTGGCCTCCTTCCCGCACCTCCTCGGCCTTCCGCCCAGTCCCCGTTCCGAAGAGTCCTGCCGCCACGTTGCTTTATCGCTGTGCCGCTGAGTACCTGTGTCCCTGTGCCGCTGTGCCGCTGTGTCCCTGTACCGCTGTGTCCCTGTGCCGCTGTGTCCCGGTGCCGCTGCGGTTGCGCGATGGCGGACGCCATCCTACGCCTGGACGCGGAGGGGCACGCGATCGACTTCGCAGCCTGGCTTGTCGATCTTCGCCGGCACTTGACACGTCAGCGCCAAGATGGGCACTCCCTGGCTATGCATGTTGATAGCATGGTTCCCCGCCCCTCCGCGCCTGATCCCCTCCCTGCTGACCCCACCACTGCTGAGATTGAGGCCTTTTCTGCTCCTGCACTCGCTCGCGCTGTCTGGGATTCTCCCAATGCTGTAGCGCAGCTTGCCATTAGTCATGCGCTTCCCCTTTCTGAGCGCCCGTGTTTCACTGCTGTCGCGAACGCCAAAGACTTCTTAGATGCAGTAGTCGCACGCTACTCCACGCCTGTCTCCGCCTCAGCTGGACGCTTGATCCTCCCCATGCTCTTCCCCGATCTCTCTGCCTTCCCCACTGTCGCTGATCTCGCCACTCACCTCCGTGCACTAGAGACTACCTACCGCGCTGCTAGCACTACTGCCCAGCTCACTGCCGTCCCCCGGCCGTTCTGCGCTTCCCTGTACCTTATTGGAATGCGCTCACCCTGACCGCTTTTGTCGCTGCCATTTCTGAGATAGAGACTCACCAGCGCACTATCACTCAGTTGAGCGGTGTTGCGGCAGTCCCTATCTTTCAGGGCTGTCCTCCCTCCCAGTGCATGTACGCTGACGTTTCCGCTGCGGTCGCTACGGCTACTCCTGCCACTGAGACCGCAGCGGCGGCCTTCCCGCAGCAGCAGCGACAGCGTCCGGGCCGTCGCGGCCCCAAGGGAGGGTGTGGAGGTGGTGGCGGCGACAGTGGTTTTGAGGAGGGGGCTGGGGCAGGTGTCCAGGAGCTGTAGCAGCCGCAGCAGCAGCAGCCGTGGGTCCGCCTCCCGCCGGGGTGGCCGGGAGCCCCTGGAGGTGGTGTCTGCGGTGGCGGTCCTCGCAGCTTGGCGTCTACCGGCGACTTCGGTGCTGTGGGCTGCCAGTACCACCTCCAGACCGGGCCCCTCCGTGGCACTACGTGCTGTCGCCCGCACCCGACGGCCCACTGCTTCCCTCGCCTTGGCGACCTCTTCTGTCATCGCTTCGGCCCGGCCCCGGACATCCCTTACTGGCCCAGTCTGCTGCGCCACGGTGTGCCTATTTTTGACTTAGACATGGATCAGATTAGTTTTGCCTTGGATTCTCTTTATGCTGACGCTTCTAGGGTGTCCGGATCTTATTATCCTATGTTCTCTAGCTTAGGCTTAGCACCTCTGTGCAGACTCCCCTGCTGCGTTACGCATAGGACCGTTTGCTTTGTCTAGTCTAGGCTCCATACTCGCTCCTCCTTCGTGTGCCGCTACTGCTTTGTTGTCCTTCACACTTGACTCCGGTGCGTCTGCTTGCTTCTTCCGCGACCATGCCACACTCACGCCGCTTGCCACGCCTGCCGCTGTCGCACTAGCTGACCCCTCCTCTGGTCATGTCGTTGCTCACAGCTACACTACCCTTCATTGTCCAGCGGTCCCCTCGGGTTCCCTCACAGGCCTGCACATCCCTTCGTTCTCCAGGAACTTGGTTGGTGTCGGCTGTCTTCAGGACCTCGGTGTCACCACTACGTTTCCTGGTCACGAGCGGTACACTGTTTGTACCGAGGCCGCCTCAAGTTCCCCCCTTGCGATGTTCCCCCGGGACCCGGCGTCTGGCCTGTTTACGCTGGACACTGCTTCCCCCCTGGTTGGCACGTCCTCTCCGGGCCTTGCGTCTACCCAGGTCGTTGCGGCTTGCTCGTGTCGGTCGCTCACCCACCCGTCGCTTCTATGGCACCACCGCCTAGGTCACCCCGCACTCCCGCGTCTGCATCACATGTCTCAGCACGGTCTCATCCTAGGTCTCCCTGCCTCGCTTCCTGCCCTCCCTCCCTTGCCTTCGTCGCCGAGCACGACTTGCGTTGAGGGCCGGCTGCGCCGTGCTCCTCACTCCTCCTCGCTTCGTCCCGCCACCACATCCCTCCAGACCCTACTCCTCGACGTCTGGGGCCCAGCCCTCATCCCTGGACTGCGTCGCAAGCTCTACTTTATAGTGCTCGTTGACAACTACATGTGCTATACCATGGTGTTTCTCTTGGACCGGAAGGCCGACGTGCCCGACGTTCTTATTCCGTGGGTCGTAGCTACGCACCTCCACCGTGGTCTCCCTGTGCTGTGTCTCCACTCCGACCGTGGCGGCGAGTTCGCCTCTGGTCGGCTTGGACAGTTCTGTCGTGCGGAGGGCATCACTCAGTCGTACACCCTTCCGGACTCCCCGCAGCAGAATGGGGTCGCCGAGCGATGCATCGGCTTGGTCATGCAGGTGGCTCATACCTCCATGATCCATGCCAGTGCACCCCATTTTCTGTGGCCGTTCGCCGTTTGCTACGCCGCTCACCAGCTAAACTTTTGGCCGCGATCCCAGCTGCCGCAGGTTTCACCGACCCTTCCTTGGACCGGGTTCCTTGGTGACGCAGCTGCGTTCCACGTCTGGGGCTGCCTCGCTCACGTTCGTGCCTCTAGCACGGACAAGCTCACTACCCGCACTATCCCCTGTGTCTTCCTCGGTTTCCCCCTGGACTCGTCTGACTGGTAGTTTTACCACCCGCCATCTCACCGCTTCTTTCACTCTCGTTACGCCACTTTCGACGAGTCTGTCTCCTTTGTCCACCGCTTTTCCCACCGAGGTCCCCCGGTTTCCCCTCTTCTGTTGCCGGCTCCCACTCCCCCGGTCACCCCTGCCCACCTTCCTCCCCGTCCTGCTCCGTCTAGTGTGTCTCATGTCACTTCCCTCTCGACGGTTGTCCCGGTCGAGGAGTCGGCTGACTCTGGTGAACCTGCGGCGCAGTTCTTGTGTTGTGTGATGTCATCATATGCTATCACATTCTGTCTGCCTCCCATCCCATGTTTTCAACTTGCATGTGTGGTTTGAATGTGCAAGCATTTGTGTGGTGTGTGTTCTGGAGTTTGGGAATGTGTTCTGTGTTATTTTTTGTTTGAGCAGGTATTTGTGATGATAGATCTTGAGAAGATCTTTCCGACGCAACAAGAATCGCTTCAATCGGAGCAAGAACGCGAAAGCTATGAAGATTCAAAGTTCATGAGCTTGCGTTACAATTGCGGTGGTTACAAAGTGAAGTTGTGGGGTGACTTTATATGGAGTTGGGACCTTTGGGGTTGGGGAAACTTGTCACTCTACTGTAACAGCTGCAAATTGGTTGGGAACAACCAAGCTAGGTTGGCAAGGGTGGCCAACTTGGATGGATTGGTTGGGAAGGGACAAATGTCAAAGTTGGGGTTCCTATAGGGAGGGAATCTTTGTGCTTATGGGGTTTCCTTGGTTGGGGACTCTCTTGGGACCTTCCCTCTCATCCCTCTCTTCCTATCCCAACCTTTCTCTTGCTCCTTCTAATTCCTTGTGAGATTCTTGAACTTTGATTGAACTCTTGAGATTGAGTTAAGTTCTCCTCCTACAGCTTACCCCCTAGTGCGTCGAAAGACATAGCGTCGCGAATACTCCATCAATCGATGTGATTCAAATTGAAAACGGTAGCTGAGATTAAGAGCTACAACATATCCAAGTTTCGCGACATTCCAACGGCCAGTTTTTCGTAGACGTCGTTTCTTGTGAAGACGACTTTTCTGTCCAGAATTTCGAATTTATATTTTGAGTAATTCTAGCTCCTAAGTTCACCTAGACTCCGTCCTTAATCCTAACAAGTGGTATCAGAGCGATATTAAGGACATTGAGAGGAGTCTACAGAAGTTTGAAGACCCTTCTAGACCCACCATGGCCTGTGGGTGTGCCTAAGTGGTGTTCTGAAGGTTGGATGTGTCTTCCGCTAAGGGGAAACTCTGCCGAAATTTCGTGGACGCCGACACTTGTGAAAAATATCGAGGGAGCTGTGTGTGGACAGCAAAGGGGAGCTGAAATTCGTCATTTCTCAAGGAGAAGATGAATGAGAGAGGAGGAGATGCTAATGGAAGAGGAGCTGTAGCTGAGAAGACAAGTGAGCCGCCGCCATCAAAAGTTGAAGCTTTGGATGGCTCCAACTATGAGGAATGGAGCGGGCGGATGAGGAGTGCCTTCAAACGCTACAAGCTCCTGAAGATTGCTGTTGGGGAGGAGAAGATGCCGGAGGAAGGCGAAGCACGCGAACGGTGGATTGAGAAAAGCACGGTGCTTTTCGACCTCATCCTTCAATCGGTCAACAAGGAGATGTTCGAGCACATCAAGGATCTTGTGGAAGCGGATGATTCGGGTCCAAGGGCGTGGAAACTACTACGCGATGTGATTCAGCCCAACACTTTCCCGATGGTGATCGTGCTCGAGAAGGAACCTGCTGCCATCTCCATGCGACCAGGGGACGATGTGAAGCCGGTCCTTGACAAGATCAAGGACACCTATGCAAGGATGGGAGCAGCGGGCAGCAGTGTATCTCAGCTGCAGCAGTGCACCAAGATCATCTCGGTGTTGGACAACTCGTGGGATAACCTCATCCCCACCCTCAACTCTCAGCAAGATCAATGGACACCTGAGTGGCTAAGGCAGCAGATTCTGCAGGAGGACTTCCGCAGACGCCATGTGGGAGGCGGTGCTGCCACTAAGACTGCTGAGGGGTATGGAGCTGCAGGGCGCGGCAGAGGAAGAGGGGGTTGGAAAGGCCGAGGCCGTGGGAGGAGCTTTGGCAGAGGTAGAGGCCGAGGTGACTATAATGAGGGGCATGGGAGCTCTGGTGGCAGGGGGAGTACCAGAATGGAGGGCACCTGCTGGTACTGCAAGAAGGTCGGGCATCCTTGGTTCAAGTGCTTCAGCAGGCCGGAGGGATGGGCACCTCCAGGCATGAAGCCGCCCAGTGGTGAACGCGCACAAGGTGGCGCTGTGCAAGGCTCAGGTGCACAAGGTGAAGGTGCACAAGGTAATGCCTATCCTGGTTTGTTTCTTATGGTTGAGGATGTGCATGGGCATGAGGGTGATGTGGGATCAGTGGGAAAGGTTGTGATGCACCCTCTCACATACTGGGTGATTGATTCGGGTTGCACCAGTCACATGACCCCACGGGCAGATTTGCTTGATGAGGTAAAACCCCCTGGGAAGATCAAGTATGTGGCAGCAGCGTCAGGTGCTTTGCTCCCTGTCATTGGTGTTGGAAATGCCAAGGTTAAGGGAGCTAATGGGGAGCTTGTGGGGCTTGGGAATGTTCTGCTGGTTGAAGGCTTGTCTGCTAACCTTCTCTCTGTGCGACGACTGCAGAAGAGCAAGGCCGAAGTGACCTTTGGACCAACCAGCTGCCGTGCTAAGCTTGGGAAGAAGGTGCTGTGGAGTCTGGAAGAGGAGACCAGCTGCATCAAGGACCTGTGGCAGCTGCCCATCCTCCCATGGAATGGGAAGACTCCATCAGCAGCAACGGCAGCAGCGGCAAAGGCAACAGCAGGAGGAGATGCAACTGCACCAACTGATGGGGTCCTGGAAGCAGTCAAGAAAGTGCAGCAGCAGCAGACACATGGTGAGATGCTTGCTGGTGTGGATGCGAGTGCGGCATGGGCTAAGGCTTCATCAAGGAGTGGAGAGGCCGATTGGGAGACATGGCATGAGAGGCTGTGTCATGTGAACTTCCCTATGCTGCAGAAGTTGGTGAAGGATGGGAGCCTGAAGGGCTTGGAGGTGAAAGGGGGAGTGAAGGAGATTGGGAGCTGCCCTATATGCTTGGAGACCAAGTTCTCCAAGTTCCCCTTCAACAGCACTACAGGACCAGCCAAGACCCCACTTGCACTTGTGCACATGGATGTGGTGGGGCCCACAAGAGCCCCTTCCCTCTCAGGCAGCCGCTATTTCTTGACAATTGTAGATGACCACACTCGGGCAGTGTGGGTTTACCCTTTGAAGAGCAAGGGGGAGGTGGCAGCGGCTGTCCTTAAGGAGTGGATGCCGAGAGCTCAGAGGGAATGCGGACACAAGGTGAAGGTGATCCGTAGTGATAATGGTGGGGAGTTCATTGGAGCTGATTTTGAGGGGGAGTTGAAGAGGAAGGGGATCCAGCATCAACTGACAGTGCCCTACAACCCACAGCAGAATGGCGTGGCTGAGAGGTTTAACAGGACCCTGCAGGAGGGGGCACGCACTCTCCTTGGGCGTGCAGGGCTGCCTGATCCGTTTTGGGTGTCTGCACTGAGGCAGGTCGCCCTTGTGAAGAACAGGGTGCTGGCTACAGTTGGAGATAAGGAGTGGATCCCATGTGTCAAGTGGTATGGGAGTGCTCCAGCTGTGAACATGCTGAGGGCATTTGGGTGCATGGTGGTGTTTCATGTGCCTAAGGAGAAAAGGGGGAAGTTGGAGGCTTCTGGAAGATGGGGTGTGCACTTGGGGATTGCAAAGGATCACAAGGGGTGGCTGCTATGGGACTTGACCACCCAGAAGTTGTCAGTGTCAAGGGATGTGAAGTTTCTTGAGTCCCTGTACTACAAGGAATGGAAGCAGCAGCAACAGAAGCTTCCATCTACACCGCTCATTGTGGAGGCAGATGAGGTGCAGCAGCCTTCAAGACAGGTGGAGGTTGCAGTGTCAGAGGAGGAGATGTCTGGGGTGACTGAGGAAGGGGGAGCAGCTGAAGTAGAGCAGCAGCAGCAGCAGCAGCAGCATGAGTCTCCACCTCGAGTTCCACACCCGCCTGAGCGTCCTAGGAGGGATGTGCGCCCTCCAGTGAGGCTGACCTATGGGGGAAGAGGCAAGCCGAATGTGGTGCAGGCTGGGAGTGTGGTTGAGCAGATTGAGGAAGATGAGATCGCTCACTGCTACTGGGCACCAATCCCTGAGCCCAAGACTCGAGAGGAGGCTTTGAATGGACCAAATGGGGAGAAGTGGAAGGCGAGTGAGGATGAGGAGTTCGGGTCCCTAATTGAGAACGAGACATGGGACCTGTGTGACTTGCCTCCTGGAAAGAAGGCAATCACTTCCAAGATGATCTACAGGCACAAGTATGGACCTGAAGGGGAGCTGACCCGCTACAAGTCTAGGCTTGTGGCAAGGGGGTTTCAGCAGACAAAAGGGAAGGACTATGATGAGGTGTTTGCTCCTGTGGGGAAAGGAACAACACTGAGGGTGCTGTTGGCGATAGCTGCACTCCTGGGATGGAAGATTCGGCAGATGGATATTGTGACTGCCTTTCTGAATGGGATCATTATGGAGGAGGTGTACATGAAGCAGCCAGAGGGGCTGGATGACGGGAGCGGCAGGGTCTGCAGGCTGAAGAAGGCCATCTATGGCCTTAAGCAGGCGCCTCGTGCATGGTATCACAAGTTGGAGGAGGCGCTGTTGGCTGGGGGTTTCAAGAAGAGTGAGTGTGACCCCAGCCTGTTCCTGCTGCAGGAGAAGGACGAAATCCTCATGCTCTTGGTGTATGTGGATGATATCCTTCTCTTTTCTGCATCAACTGCTTTGCTGGACAGCACAGAGCAGATGCTGGAGATGCAGTTCAAGTGCTCCAAGATGGGTGAGGTGAAGTACTACCTGGGGATGCATGTGGAGAGAGATGTGGAAAAGGGTGTGCTGAGGTTGCACCAGAGGAAGTACTGTGAGGGGCTGGCTGAGAAGTATGGGTTGCAAGATGGGGGAAAGCCAGCAACACCACTACCTTCGGGGTTTACTGTGGAGCCATGTGCTGATGAGGAGGTAGTGGGTGAGAGTGACAGGAAGCTGTTTCATTCGATGGTTGGGTTGCTGAATTATGCTGCAAATCATACACGGCCTGACATTGCATTTGCTACATCACGACTGGCTAGCGTGGTTTCACGTCCTAGTCATGAGCAGCTGGAAGCGGCCAAGAGGTTGGTCCGCTATGTGAGTGCTACGGCATCAGTGGGATTGGAGTACAATGGAGTGAGGCAGCGGTTGCAGAGAGGTGCTGCAGATGTGAAGAGTGGTGAGATGCTCTTGAGTTGCTATACTGACGCTAGCTTCAACTCAGTGAAAGCGGATGGCACCAGCATTGGGGGTTATGTGTGCTTGCTGGGAGGTGGTGCTGTGAGCTGGCGCAGCAAGAAGCAAAATGAGGTGGGATTGTCCTCATGTGAGACTGAGTACATGGCCTTACACCATGGGGCCAAGGAAGTGGTGTGGCTGAGGCGTTTGTTGGAGGAGTTGGGAGTTGGTCAGAAGGAGCCGACGGTGATCTTTTGTGACAATGAGTCCGCTGTGAAGCTGGCCAAGAATGCTTGTCTGCATGGGCTGACAAAACACATAAGGCCTAAGTGGCATTGGGTGAGGAGAATCCTTGATAAGGAGGTGCGGCTGGAGATAGTGAAGACCCATCAGCAGGCAGCAGATATTTTCACTAAGCGTCTGGCGGAGGCGGATCATTGGAAGGGCATGAAGCTTGCTGGGATGAGTGTGCATTGAGTATGCATGCTTGAGATGTTGGTATGGTGGATGATGGTTGGCAGCCAGAGGGGGAGATTGTTGTGTGATGTCATCATATGCTATCACATTCTGTCTGCCTCCCATCCCATGTTTTCAACTTGCATGTGTGGTTTGAATGTGCAAGCATTTGTGTGGTGTGTGTTCTGGAGTTTGGGAATGTGTTCTGTGTTATTTTTTGTTTGAGCAGGTATTTGTGATGATAGATCTTGAGAAGATCTTTCCGACGCAACAAGAATCGCTTCAATCGGAGCAAGAACGCGAAAGCTATGAAGATTCAAAGTTCATGAGCTTGCGTTACAATTGCGGCGGTTACAAAGTGAAGTTGTGGGGTGACTTTATATGGAGTTGGGACCTTTGGGGTTGGGGAAACTTGTCACTCTACTGTAACAGCTGCAAATTGGTTGGGAACAACCAAGCTAGGTTGGCAAGGGTGGCCAACTTGGATGGATTGGTTGGGAAGGGACAAATGTCAAAGTTGGGGTTCCTATAGGGAGGGAATCTTTGTGCTTATGGGGTTTCCTTGGTTGGGGACTCTCTTGGGACCTTCCCTCTCATCCCTCTCTTCCTATCCCAACCTTTCTCTTGCTCCTTCTAATTCCTTGTGAGATTCTTGAACTTTGATTGAACTCTTGAGATTGAGTTAAGTTCTCCTCCTACAGCTTACCCCCTAGTGCGTCGAAAGACATAGCGTCGCGAATACTCCATCAATCGATGTGATTCAAATTGAAAACGGTAGCTGAGATTAAGAGCTACAACATATCCAAGTTTCGCGACATTCCAACGGCTAGTTTTTTGTCGACGTCGTTTCTTGTAAAGACGACTTTTCTGTCCAGAATTTCGAATTTATATTTTGAGTAATTCTAGCTCCTAAGTTCACCTAGACTCCGTCCTTAATCCTAACATCTTGCAGCATGTCTCTCCCCTGGTGTCTCCTCCGCCATCACAGTCGCCGCCGCCGCAGCCGCCACTGCCGCCGCAGCAGCCGTGGCTGTCGCAGAAGCAGCAGCCGTTCGTAGACTCTGGGGGTGCTGGCGTTGAGGAGGGTGCTAGTCCTGGGGTCCCTGTCGTGGCGTGTCCCGGTGGGCTTGGGGGTGGCATCCGTGCTGGAGAGGGTTCTTGCTCTGGGGGTGCTCGTTCTGGGGGTGCTGGAGTGGAGTGTTCCGGAGGTAGTCGCGGCGCAGCTGGTGGTCTAGGTGTTGGATTCGAGCAGCAGCAGCAGCAGTCGCCGACGGTGTCCGCCCTTCGCCTGCTCGGCCTTCCCTTCCCCAACCACTCGCCTGCGCCTCCTCCGCCGCCTCCTCCCCTTCCTGTCCATGGTCCTGTGTTTCCTCCGCCGGACTCATCCCTGGCCCATTTCCCACCTCGTTCCCCTCCTGTTACTCCTCCTCTGTCTCCTGACCCGACGCCTCCGTCTCACGTCTGGTCTCGCCGTCCCTCTTGGGCTCGTCCTGTCTCTCCTGTTCCATGTCCTCATCCTATGTTGCTTCGTTCCCACGCGTCTCGTCCTCCCCTCCTGCCCTCCCCTCCTCCATCGTCCCTCGCTTTCACGCCTCCCCCTCTGTCTGACTGCCTTCGTGCTGCTTGTCCTCTTGTTCCTCGGGTCCTTGCCCCCCTCGTTATCGACCCGCCTGTACCTGTCTCCAGTCTTGACGCTCTTGTCGCTGCAGTTGCTGACTTCGCCTCTACCTGCCGTCTTGACTATGCCACCGCTCTGGTCTCTGACCTTGTTGGTCCTCCGTCCGTCAGGGGTGCTCCTGCTCTTGGCAGTGACGTCCTAGAGGATAGGCAGTATGAGCTTGCTTTTCTGTCCGAGGCTGCTCCCTATCTCTACTCTATGCTGCTAGTCCCTCAAGGTGACTCAGACGCCTTTGACATCCCGACCCCTCGCACTGATGCCAAGGCGACCTCGGGACCCTGGGCCTCTCAGTGGATAGCTGCCATGGAGCAAGAGATGCCATCTTGGAGATCCACCGGCACCTACGACAACGCAGTTCCCCCACCTGGGGTGAACGTAGTCCACGGTCGATGGCTCTTTAAGGTGAAGCACCCCCTGGAGAGACGCCTGTATTCAAGGCGCACTACGTGGCCAGAGGCTTCAGTCAGCGAGAGGGGGTGGACTTCTTTCAGACCTTCGCCCCAACCCCGAAGATGACTACTCTACAGGGCTTCACCAGTACCTTCTCTTCTGGGACCCAGTGGCTCCTCAGGCGCTCGGTATACGACCTGCGATAGGTGCCCCACGAGTGGCACGACATGCCGCGTGCTACGCTAGCTAACCTGCAGTTCTTTCCGTCCTTTTGCAGACCCTTCGCTCTTCGTCCGTTCTACATCCTTGTCTACGTAGACGACCTGGTCTTCGCTACTGCAGACAGAAACGCGCTAGCCTCCATGAAGGCCGAGCTGCTGAGGAGACAGACGTGCACTGACCTAGGAGAGCTGCACCGCTACCTTGGCCTGCAGATCTCCAAGGACAGAGCAGCACGCACCATCACTCTCACACATTCTCACTTGGTGTGCCAGGTCCTTCAGAGGTTCGGTCTTCAGTTCTCCTCCACACAGCCCCCACCTCTGGCAGTAGACCACAGGCTCTCTGCTCTAGTTCTTGAGGAGTCAGTAAAGCCCAGTGGTCCTTACGCAGAGCTGGTGGATTGCCTCCTGTACGTGATGACTTGCAGTCGTTCGGATCTCGCATACCCCCTTAGCATCCTTGATCGCATTGTGGCCACCAGCACACACCGACCACAGCACTGGTCGGCTGCTAAGAGGGTTTTGAGTTATCTACCAAGTACATCGGGCATGGGGCTAGTGCTAGGAAAACGCAGGCCGGTGGTCCCTATTGGGCACACAGATGCTTATTGGGCAGACGACGCTGAGACCCTCAGGTCCTCCTAGGGCTACAGCTTTGGCCTTGGTTCGGGTGCCATCTCGTAGAGGTCCACTTGCTCCTCGTCTGTTGCCCAATCTAGCTGTGAGGCTGAGATCTACGCCGGTGCCATGGCGGCACAGGAGCTCCGCTGTGTGACGTTCTTGCTCTCCGACTTAGGTGAGCAGCCTAGCTCTACCCTGGTTCTGTACGCTGACAACAGGGCCATGATCCTCCTGCGTTAGGAGCCTCGACTTGAGAACAGGGCGAAGCACATCCAACTGGGGTACTTCCTCCTGCGTGAGCTACAGCAGTGCCGCCAGGCCCGTGTCGTACCCTTGGCCTATGGTGCCAACACAGTTGATATCGTTACTAAGGCGCTTCCGCCTTAAGATCATTAGCGGCACTGCTTGTAGCTTGGTCTAGTTGCTGTAGACTCTCACTTGCTAGGACCTTGATTGTGCACTCCTCTTTACATATATATTTTAGACTGGCCTTGTGGTTCCTCTTCCAGTGGTCGGACTAGTAGTGCCGCCCTGCTTTGCTCCTATCTTGTTTGTACTCTTGCTGACTAGACTTCGGACCCCTGTCTCAGAGGTTGGACTACTAGTTGTCGAGTGACCCGCTGGGGTTGCCCTTGAGATCCTCGGGGAAGGGCCACAGGTGCAGAGCCTGGGGGGCTATGGGCGCACTAACCCGCTATTAACAAGCCCTTTTAACCCAGTGGTTAGTGACTGGGTTTCTGACATGGTACATCAGAGCCAACGGTCTTGGGTTTAACTCCCAGTGCCAGCGCTGCAGAGGCGCTCGTGTCTTCCACTTATCCCAGCGGGAGGGGGGGTGTCGATTGACCCGCTGGGGTTGCCCTTGAGATCCTCGGGAAGAGCCACAGGTGCAGAGCCTGGGGGGCTATGGGCGCACTAACTCGCTATTAACAAGCTCTTTTAACCCAGTGGTTAGTGACTGGATTTCTGACAGTAGTGCCACCTTGAGTTGTGTGCTACTTACTCAGCACTACCCCATGTCTAGCCTAGGGGGTGTGTCAACTTATACATACATTTGCATGTAAAAGTTATAGGCTAGGACAGGGCTAACGTTTCAAAAAAAGGCACTCCGATTTTACCCCCCCAAAATTTTCCCAAGTCTGAGGGGCCATTTTTCAAAATTTCCCTAGTCAGAAATCTCAGTATCCAAAAGTGGACTTGTCTGAAGTTCTCAGGGTTCAGAATGTCCATTCAGGGTCCACGCGCCTAAGTCGAAGTCTCGTTTTTTCAGAGGTCAGATGCAACTTGGTAGCATTGCAAACGTTAGTGGTAGAGAGCTCGTTGTCAGGGTACGATAGTTTTCATTTCTTGGCCTGAAATTTCAGGCTGACGAATCAGGGGTGGGTTTTGAAACGCGCTGAATCAGTTCGTCACGTGATCGAGGGAAAACCTGTGTTTTCAAGGAACTGCCGAAACCCCACCTACCGGCAGCTTCTGCGCAATTTTTGCTGAGGACAAATCAAGTCCCTCACACCTGCTCTAGTTTACGTCCAGCATGATATTTTGTCCAAAGACCGGCCACGAATCACGCTCCTCACAACTGAATCAGATTACCTCGGACTCTTGCGTGATTTTGGCCTAAGGACCAATCACAGCCTCACACCTTCTCCAAGTTCGCTCGGACCACAGGCGAAATTGTTGGGGGAATGAGAGGGTTGTCTCTACAAAAGGACTTCAACAAAATTTATGGGTTGCTGGGACTGTCTCTGGCTACTAGGACTTAGCCGAATTTTATAGATTGCAGGGTGTGTGAGAGGACTTGACCCTGGGGGTCCGAGACATAGCCAAAACTTTTGGGTTGAGGGTGTTGTGATATAATTGATACTTAGCATTTCTGTAAGTCGATTAAGTGTAGTTAGTGACGAATCATACTGTAGAAGATAAGTCCGTAGGATGACGTCAGCAAATAGCGCTCGTCATAGGACAGTCGTTTTCAGTCACGCGAACAGTCGCACCTCTTCATTATCATCTAGGGCGCATAGCGCGATAGTGACGAACAGGTACATTAGCGAATAGGTACTTTTGCTAGAACTATAAATCCTTGTCAGGTCTTTTCATTATTAACTTTTGATTACACACAAGTTCACGTACTCAGGTTATTCAACCTTGATTATTACATTTACAAGACTTCCGCTGTCTTACTAGTCTACCATTCCAGCAAAGATCCTGGACCAACACTTGAGGATTTGCCAAGTGTTCGTGTTTATAGTTTTATTCTTAGTATACTACAACACCAGACGATTTAATTCATGGTATGAGAGCTATCTGGAATCAAGACTACCGTCAACTATGACTGGTTCAACACCAGCAACATCTGC